GCCACTCGATCAACTCCAGTCCATTCAATTCATTCTCCGCGCCTCCTTCATTGTTAGGTATTTCCCCAAGTTAAATATTGAATATCTATTTTCTGAGTAGTCTCGTGTTCACAGCTTTGTGGATTGTGTGGCTATCGTCCAATGCCACTACAATGTCACATTTCATAGTCAGTTACAAGGTATTCGTTGTCCCGGGAAGAGTTCATTCGGAAACCTGCCTATAGTTATCATACACGTGCTGTCATTAGAGACGACGCACTTCATATATTTATGTGTAACCAAAAAACTTATTTCTTAATGTAATGCTCTAGTCAGCCTGCGACCAAACTGAGTGGATCCATGTTTTTTCTCACCAACAAATGTATCCTTAAAATGTTGTAGACAACATTTGCCTTGTGGCTTCCGAAGGAAATGTCGTTCACTCTATGAAGTTTCTGTTAAGAAGACGAAGAAACGTAGGTCGTTCTGTTTATTCTTAAGTCCTGTAGTTTGCGCGATAGTTTAACATTTAAACTCCACGGAAATTTTTCCCATCTATCCTTACCGATCTGCTTAATTTCTCATTCTAAGTTCTGCATAGTGTTCTCGAACAAGGTGCGCATTATTCTTAGTAAATTTTCATTAAGATACGTAGTTTATTTAAAGGAGATAGTCGATATATCACTCAACAGGGATGTTAAGATTCATCCTTTGATTTTCCTTTTGAGTCATATATGAGAAAAATAAAACGTTCATGACAATGCAGATCAGCGTTGACTGTACAGCGAAATGTGGAAGTTTACTTTCAAAGTCTACTGAATCAGAAAATACAACTATATGTGACTGAGTAGACAATGAGTTATGTTTTTCCAAAAAACCGTTACTTACAACAATTCGATAATCGTTAATGGAAAGCCTGGGTTCATCACAAAGATTGTAGATACTGGTAGAATTCAGTTTCAGCCTTGTACTGTCCTTTCATATCTATTTACTGACACGATTTCTATCAGTACTATAGGTATACGTAAGTGCTCCTTAGTTAGTGACCAGTGTACGTGGATTACTATGACATATACTTTGTGAGCGCATCCCAAACCCGACACAAAATTGTGAGTTTGTTTCTTCCATTTTACACACATCACTTCTCAAGACCCATACCATGCATAATAATTTGGTTCGGTTAGCCAGATGACACATAGATTGGAAATGAAAAGGACAGATAGACGACTGAAAAATATGAAAGAAAAAATTTAGGATCGTGTAATCGATGAGTAAGGAAATAAGATGTGAATGCTAAACATGGAAATGCTACTTAATTCGAGATATCTTACTTTTTGAAGTGGCCGAAGATAAACAAGAAGAGACTTATAGGAACTTGGAATTATGTAAGTTCCTCATGATCGTCCATATTTGATCAGCATCCACAGGTTTAGAGAGCCATCTGTTCACTTAAATTCCGAAGTAAAAAGGAATATGAAATGTCACCAAAAAAAGATGTAACATTATAGTAAGGACACTCTGAATCTGAATATGTGATTTGTGAGCATGCTTAGTTAGGGGGGGAGATCATGTGATTTGTCATTTTATAATACAAACGTGATCGAATAGTGGTTTCTTATCTTAAGTCTAGATGGTTGGTTGTCCATAGAAAATGTATCGGAGTTGTGTGGGAGTTTTGCTTATAGTTCATAAGGCCATCTCCGTACAGTGGAAATGTCTCGACGTTCGTATTGAAGATTCTGAATTTTATATTTGCTGACAACTGTTTTGAGTTTCACATGTTGATAAAGGGTGCGACCACATATTATTTAGTAAAAAGTATTTATTTGTTCCCTGGCTGATAGCGCCATGAAATTTCCAGGGAGAAATGTTTACATCTACATAATCCCAAATCCTCAATCAGGTTGAAGAACCCAGCTTCAGTTGAGTTTTCACCTCCAGTATACCTATGTTCCGCAAGATTTACTCTATGGATATCGACGTTCCCTAGAATCAGGATATGAGTGAAACCTAGGCGCGAAGAGCGGGATATTCCTTCAAGCATACGAATGTCATACCCAATATTGTCAGTGAGCTTCCTATAGATGACCCCGAATAGGCACCTCGAAGTAGTAGACAATCTTACAGTGCACCACACAGATTCATCAAGATTGTTAAACTCATGGTTGTGACCTTAGTGTATCTCCAAGCAGGATCGTATATATATGGCTTGTCCGCTCCCAATTCCTGTTTTCCTGTCGTTGCGAAACGAAGACATCCCAGGTATTACTAGCTCCTGGTCCGTAAACAGAGAAAATATCCAAGTTTCAGATTTTCCCATTAGATGAGCCTTGTTAGCCTTGCTAAGTTCACGTGACTCATCCACTTTGTTCGGTAGACTCGCGACGTTCATGTATAAGCAGTTTATGCCTTCAATTTGAAATGTGTGAGCTTCTTCCTGTTTGTCTGTATAAGCTTTACGTGAATGGACAGGTAGCCTACCTATATAAGTTTTGCCGAGATGGAAGGCCCTGTCCTTTACAATTTTTTTATGATCAAGACAATCCACAAGTGGAATGGTCAGCTCCAACATGCCTTTGTGCTTGGTCCTGTCGTCATGTAGCCTATCCGGGTGCATATGGATTCCAGTTGGCAACCGACTTTAAATTATATTATATAACACTTGTTCCGCGGAAAAACTTCTCGCGAGATTCTCTAGGGATGTTCCGGATGGGATTGCACCCAGAATACCTTATGTCAGGCAATATTCTTACGTCCCCATCAGCTTTCAGTAGATGACTAGCTAGCAGGACATTCTCTATGTCGATAGCATTCTCAAGTGTTACACGAAGTGGCCTCAGGTGATTTTAATGCTAAGATTCCATTCCCCGCGTGAGCCGTGTGATCGTCAAGGGCTCTATCCTAGGATGTTCAAGACTCTTATTCAATTCACCCCAGAGCATCCTGTCATTTTTGTCCTGTAAACTGAGAGAAAGGTCAGGGTTGTCTTTGAGGTTCATGATTATGAGAGCGTCATCACGAACCGTCATTGTTTTCCCAGGTTTTCTGGTGCGTTCATGTTCACCACCTTGTTGTTTGGAGGTCGAAGCACGTTTATGAATCCTGGGCTCTTTGATGACCGGATGGACATTCTTGGGGGTAGACTGTGCGACCAAATCACCAGTTGATTTCCATATAACACCTGGGATGTTCAACCTAGACGGTGACGCCTGGGCCTTTTTAACTCTTTTAAAGTGTGTCCGATCACCTACAGAGTTTTTGGGAAACACTGTTGCATTCAAGGACCCCGAGCTGGGAGACCCGAGTTTGATGAGGGAGTATATTACCGTCAACGTAATGATGGTGCTGAGTTCCAGCATGTCATCACTAGTGCTATTGCGTGCTCCATCGATAGTAGACCTGTCGACATCCCTATTCTTGTTTTTTGATCGCTCTTTGTCTACCCGTTTTGTAACTGTCTTTTTCCAAGTTTCTTGACAACTTACTCTGCAGACCTGTCAGTAGGACAATGATGTCACTCAGAAAGACTACAGGATCCGTGTTGCACGTAACACGTACCCACATATGATCCGACTTGCTGAGTCTGTTGTAAGCAGTTGCTGTGAGATCTGCACACGCTTCATGAAATCAACTTTGTAGTTGTCGCATTACATGCCAGATATAACGGCAAAAGGGCATCCAGGTCGTTTGCATGAATTATTCATAACTATATTGACGTAAACTGTATTATAGGTGCTAGCAAAAGCTCAAGACCGTTAAAAAATACACTAAAAAGCACACTGAAAATGGGCAAAAACGGATAAAAACTGATGAGAAAAACTGAAATAGCCTTTACGTGAAAAACTGAAAAAAATCGAATAGTAAGCTGAGGCAAAACCACAGTTAACTATTTGATTGGGTGAAACTCGAAAAAAAGTTATCTACAAAACGTATAATTCAGAATAGATTCGTTAGATCAGAAATGGTACTTTTGTTGCGTAAGAACACAGCAGAAGTTTGAAGAATGTAAATCACGTAAGGACTAAACTTCCCGTTCGGAAAGTGCGCAGTTAGATGGGTTGTCGGGGTTACCTTGAATCTGGGATATACTCTCATTTAAATCTTCATGCCTAAATCTGTATATCATTTTAAGATCATCGGTATTTAGTTGTGGTCTCTCAAATTTTATGGTTTTGAACTGATTATGTACATGAAACATAAGAGTGGATCAAATACATTCCCATAGAAAAGTCCACAAGGCTCCCGAATGAACCAATTCTTGGTCTCCGGCTTCCATGGGACTGCATCTCCATACGATGATCCACTGCCTTGTGGATCAGACATTCAGGTCTAAGGCTCGGGGAGTGTCCCTCTAAGAAAACCACCTTCTTCGGTTTGGGCGCCCGGGCAGTATCACGGCCCTCACATATACCGAACGAGATTTGTGTGGCGACTAGGTATTTGGTGCCTCCTTGTACTAACATCTATGTGTTAAAATAAAATAAATAAATAATGACATAAAATTGTTGTTATCTATCATTTGTTTAAGTTCGGCTACAAACAAAGGAGCCACGTTTGAAAAACCGAAGTTTGGTTCATCTTCTCTAAATACACTATAAATAGAGTTGCGATCACCAGCGAGGATTAGCTGTACGTATTTCAGTGCATATCAAGACTTTTACAGTTTCGGGATATAAGTCTAATAAGATTAGCTCGCAAATCACCTGGAAATTAGATAAATGCAAAATCAAGTTGATGTGTAATCCAGACTTCTACAAAGTTCAATTAGCCAGCGCCATTATCCGGATTTGAGTGGTGATCCTACAACAAAAATGTCAGACAATCAAAACACAAACCCACACAAGACGTAACCACATACATCCCTCCATGGAACGGTCATAGTTTACACAATTACACTTACCATTCCTCTTCTTTCTCAACCTTTTAGGACACATCTCTGTACCCTGGATCTGTAGCATAACTTCCTATGATACAATTCTACTTTTTACAGTGACTAGGTTACATTACAGAGTGTCTATCTGATGCATACTATCTTTGATATATCCAGAGGTATCTGTGATATTTAATCTACGTTACCATGTCGGGCCATATTAACCCGTGCACCCAATACTCGCATTCACTATCCTCGAGCTCGACTGTAGTTCGCCCTCATGCGTTGTACCTGCTGTCGGTATTCCATCTGTATCCTTCCACATACCACCCAAGAGTAAAGAAACGCTATGCTAACATTCATTGTTCATCCCTCCTCTCAACCTCTCTGTCCTTATATACTTGCAGATGACACAGGTATTCAGTGTTTGACAACGCTTTTACTAGTAACACCTTCTAATATATTTCGTTCCCACCCAGAGAAATCAAAAGAGGGTCGAGGAGATCGGGAGAGTGTATTTGGCGATTACCAATATATCGGAATTCTCTGATCTAATCTGGCTAGCGATTGCGGTAGATGTTGAGCACAGCGTTACCACACGTGATCTGGTACGGATGCCTGACCGAGCGCCTTCAGCTAGATGAGTCCACTAGAACATATGGTCAGCATCCAATGTCGAAAACTTACAGGGCTATTTATTTTGGGGATTTATTTACCGCTAAATACTGGACAGATGCTAACATAAATTGTACACACCAGACCTCTGTCTGCAGACGAAATTGGTTGTAGGTTACTTCCAACCCAAAATTATGTTTAATCCCAATAATCCTTCTACAGTTCCGTACCGTATTATCAGTCATAGCATAATACCTACACCAACTCCTTGACAAGATATCTCCTCACTGATCACAGTATTTACACTATCAGGATAATTAGAAAAACTATCATGTGCTTTAAAAAGTATGACATGATGTGGTTTTTGTACGAACTAATTATTCCTTTGTACTTGAATGCACACTATGAATATAAAATACAATACGTTCGTCTGGGCTCATCTGGTTCTATCTGGCGTGAATTACACTGTTTTGGTAATTCCCAGTTAGTACATTAATTCGGATACTTTTAATTATTATTCATGATCCTTCTTATATTCGAGTTAAATCCTAGGAGAATCAATTACTTCAAGGCAAAATAATTATTTCAAACGTCTGTAAATCAACCAATAGATTAATAACACATAAACGTTCCGCGAACAAATCTTGCCTCCCAAGTAATTGCTATCCATGTTTTCGTAAGAGCTCCAAACAGTGAATCCATCAAGACTCAAATTCACCAACATCACCAATGCTATTCATTATCATACTTACTTCACTATAATTCGGTAATATATACCACCATGGGATTCTAATGAAAGTTTCAGATAATTAGTTGTGTCGCTGATAATGGACACCGATACCGCAAATACAGTACAAAAAATGTCTATTATATTGAAACACTAAAGATATTTGTATGATTGATTTGGGAGAAAAATGCACCCTCACTGGCTCTAATAATGGCAACTGGTGCGTCCAAAGAATCTCTGTTTTTTAGAAAGGGATAAGATATTGAGTTGAGAAATGTCCAAACTTAACAAAACAGTGTCCATGTGTTCATCTAAACAACTGAATAATCACACCACTTGTACTACTACTACTGTGGTGTGCTACGTATATTGAAATAAGTAGTATATGATGTTAGTCGTGAACAGACGGTCTGGCAACAGAGAGACTAGAGGATCGAACAGTAAAGAATCGAAACAGAGTAAAATATATATGAAAATGCAAGAACAATAAAGTCTGAGTCATTTTGAGACAATTGGTGGACATCTTACAAATTAAGCATTTACATTATGATTGTTAGATTTTATTAACAAGTCCTGTAATTTTGTGTTAAATAGATTCGATTGTCCCCTCTAGTGTTCTTATTCACTACTACTACTACTACTACTACTACTACTACTACTACTACTACTACTACTACTACTACTACTACTACTACTACTACTACTACTACTACTACTACTACTACTACTACTACTACTACTACTACTACTACTACTACTACTACTACTACTACTACTACTACTACTACTACTACTACTACTACTACTACTACTACTACTACTACTACTACTACTACTACTACTACTACTACTACTACTACTACTACTACTACTACTACTACTACTACTACTACTACTACTACTACTACTACTACTACTACTACTACTACTACTACTACTACTACTACTACTACTACTACTACTACTACTACTACTACTACTACTACTACTACTACTACTACTACTACTACTACTACTACTACTACTACTACTACTACTACTACTACTACTACTACTACTACTACTACTACTACTACTACTACTACTACTACTACTACTACTACTACTACTACTACTACTACTACTACTACTACTACTACTACTACTACTACTACTACTACTACTACTACTACTACTACTACTACTACTACTACTACTACTACTACTACTACTACTACTACTACTACTACTACTACTACTACTACTACTACTACTACTACTACTACTACTACTACTACTACTACTACTACTACTACTACTACTACTACTACTACTACTACTACTACTACTACTACTACTACTACTACTACTACTACTACTACTACTACTACTACTACTACTACTACTACTACTACTACTACTACTACTACTACTACTACTACTACTACTACTACTACTACTACTACTACTACTACTACTACTACTACTACTACTACTACTACTACTACTACTACTACTACTACTACTACTACTACTACTACTACTACTACTACTACTACTACTACTACTACTACTACTACTACTACTACTACTACTACTACTACTACTACTACTACTACTACTACTACTACTACTACTACTACTACTACTACTACTACTACTACTACTACTACTACTACTACTACTACTACTACTACTACTACTACTACTACTACTACTACTACTACTACTACTACTACTACTACTACTACTACTACTACTACTACTACTACTACTACTACTACTACTACTACTACTACTACTACTACTACTACTACTACTACTACTACTACTACTACTACTACTACTACTACTACTACTACTACTACTACTACTACTACTACTACTACTACTACTACTACTACTACTACTACTACTACTACTACTACTACTACTACTACTACTACTACTACTACTACTACTACTACTACTACTACTACTACTACTACTACTACTACTACTACTACTACTACTACTACTACTACTACTACTACTACTACTACTACTACTACTACTACTACTACTACTACTACTACTACTACTACTACTACTACTACTACTACTACTACTACTACTACTACTACTACTACTACTACTACTACTACTACTACTACTACTACTACTACTACTACTACTACTACTACTACTACTACTACTACTACTACTACTACTACTACTACTACTACTACTACTACTACTACTACTACTACTACTACTACTACTACTACTACTACTACTACTACTACTACTACTACTACTACTACTACTACTACTACTACTACTACTACTACTACTACTACTACTATAATCATTGTACTAACTTTGGTTAACTAACGCACAGATTTTAGTTTGTTTGAAGGGAAAAAATAAGGATTATTTGCCTTGGTCGTGGAAGTTATTCGACAACAGTAACAATTATGTTAGCTTAATAATCATATATACAGTGCTAAAATTAAATGAATTTCTATCAGATTCATCAATTGATAAAGAGAAACCAAAATGAGATTGCAGATCAAAACCAATCTGCCTGTCATTTTCTTCACCTTTGGTCTATCTTGAACGAACATCTGGAGAAACTTAATAAATTCCATCTTCATAACTGGCACAAGATCTTAGTAAAGATGACAAAGCCATTTTTATCGTAACGTGATTTTGTGAAATAACATCGACTCCGCCCAAGTTGATTTCTGATCTAAATACACATTTTTGCAGTGATCAGGAAATCTAGTTACTTTAAATTACTGGTACTGTCAACATCTTTTAAATCAACCAATTCGTCCTCGCTGACAGTCTGAATTATTCCTCCAACAGCTGTTGATTCTCATTAAAATACCTATTATTGATGGTTTCTGCTTCCCGGTAATCTTCAATTCTTATATACTTGACAGCATCCCAAACATTTGGGATGTAGGAGTTATTTCCTTGCTAACTCCAGCTTTTGACGCAAAGCAACCTTCATAAATCTACTACATTCCTTCAGCTGGTGTTCTTATAAGGCACATTCTTCTGGATCAGGTATATATAGTAGTAAAGAGGCGGATATCATCTACAGGAAATAACCCTTTAGTTGTTAGTCGTAATAATTGTTCAGTAAGGTGTCACACAAGATGCAGAACTAAGAAACTATTTATGACAATAAATCCTCATCACAAGCTTTCACAAGTCAAATTACATTACTACTTGGTAATTTAAATATTTATGGAATTTGAGTAAATTTAAGTATTTGCACTAACTGCTTTGTTTATATACTGAATTCTCGTCTGTTCTGTCATCATACGAAAACTACGACAGAGTGAATACTTAATCATTACTATTAAGTCATTGGTTCGCACTATATTCTACTGTAAATTCCTTTTTACTGTTAATTCGTCTCTCAAGCAAAATAAACCTTCACTATCCTGTTCGGTTGATAGCAAAGGAGTGGGAAAATAATCTCCGAAAACTGGGACCGTGTTCTTTGAAGGTGGTAAATTACACGTGATATTGAAAACTCGTATATGAGAGCAAATATTTCTGATGAATTCAGAATATAAATTAACATAAAAGTAATTTACAAGTTTATAGCAAAATAAATCCACTGATGAGCAATCTGTGTTCAATCATCAATAACGTACTTAAAAAAGTAGGCATATTCCATGAAATCCGGAGAAATTACAAACGTGATATAAAGTGAGATATATCCAGAAAGACGAATATAACAACAAACAGTTGGAGAATGTAGCGTGAGGAGGATCTGAGAGGTAGTAGTATTGAAGAACAAAGTTATCTTAACTCGAGATATTTATCTCTAACAACACTGCTTGGTATATTTAAAGTAGCTTCATAGAATATGTAAAACTGACGTTGGCGAAGTTGTGACGTCATTTGACTAAGCCATCACAGAAATGTCAGTGCAACTTGAAATTTGATGCATCACAGCTGAGTGGGAGACGTCATTTTATCAACTTATTGTCATCCTCTCGGCCCTGAACTCAACTGATTGGACAAATATTTACGAACTGTGCAGACATTTATTCATACGATTTGTATATAGTTTCTAAATCCTATCAGTATAATCAGTGTCACTCATACAGCGTTCTCATTCACTCAAAAGTGTTATAGACGTTCAGTATCATAGCAATTATTTCTAAGTTGTTATACTTCCTAATCCACTTTTACCGCAATCACTGATCATAATTTGGATATTCAATCTCATTTAAAAAGTGTATTTGGTATTCTTTGAGCCAACAGGACTTCCACTGTTTGTATTTTATGCTATGTTTAATAACATAACAAGAATCCCAAGTAATCTGGTATTTTGCTATGTCGAAGATAAAACCGAAGCATGATAACCTTTCATTTGTTAATTATCATAAGCTAATGCTAAAGACCACGAAAAACATAAGACCATTATCGTACTCATGACAAATGAGATATTAAAGATATTACTAAAATTAAAGCTTAAAATATTCAAGATGACGACTTATCCAATAATAGTAAAATTGATTAGTCCCGATATATAAGTGGGAAAGAAATCTAATAAGCGACAATACATTTACAAAATATCTTGCGATTGTAAGGCGAAAACTTATTTTCAACGACCAACATTGAATCATCAACCTAAATGATTTCAATAAACCAAATGAATGGAAATTTTATTGACACATCGAATCTTCAGTGAAATTATAAGATTACAGAACTAAATAGATTTTCAGGTTAAATATCAGTACCTCTTTAAACCAATGATCTGGGAAGACATCTAAAAGCGCCTGATGATACAGTTTTAGCTATACACAATAACACAAAAAAGCAAGGAAATGAGGAATATAGTCAGTAGTATATGTCATTTGCATCGGAAAAAATACCTCCCACAAGCTAAATAGGCAAATGTCTAATATATATGTGATTTGAAACATTATTAAGTAAAATAGAATTTAAAAATTTTCCAGACTGATTCACTGTAAATATAAGCGAGAAAATTATTCAAACTTAAAACAGATTAACATATCACATAGAATTTTTCCTTTCAGTCTAAATGTGTTTTAGGTCTGACACTGGAAGGCAGTGTAATCGGATATAACAACAGGTCTTATTGTTAAGTCGGCAGTTGTGACAGATTATACTCTTGTAGTAGCAATAGCATGACGATGAAGATTGAATGAAATCCAACTGAACCAAAAGAGCGCATAGAACATTAACAATTTAACACAATAATATAAGGATGAACAGAAAAACAACTGAAGTATACATAAGGAAACAAAAGATGCAAAACTGATCAAATACATGTACAAAAGAATTTAAAATGTTTTTTTGTTTTAAATCTGAAAATGGACGTGAGGGAAAACAAAAATAATAATCATAACAAAAAAAACAACCGGTCAGCCATAATTTGGTTGTAAAAATGAATGTACTTTATCATATCTATGTATATTGATAGTGACAGAAGCGTGAGCTGAACACAAAACATATTTGGATGAGATTCTGAGTTATAGTTGACTGAGGATAATAATAATAATAATAATGTGTTAGTGTGGAGATATAAATCCTAAATACAAATCAACTTCTGCGTTCGCTTAAAAGAGGTGAATTTCCATAGATTAGGACGTCAACTGAAAAATTCAAGAACCCAATAAACCACAAGAACACATACATATAAGTAGATCAACATTACGCACTTCGTGTTTTGCCTATTTCAATGAATACAAAAAAATTAATGCATATCATAGTAATGATTGTTTATCGACAATCCCATATATGAATTGTTTGATCGACACTACCCGTTACAGCATAGGGAGCTAAACGGTTAACATCTGTCATAATAAAATAAAAGAGAATTAGATAAACGCATAGAAAAAAACACTATTAAATAATTATGATAATATCAGTAAAACAATTAAAATAATTACATAGAAACATGTGTATTCCTCAGAAAGGAGACATTAATAGCACAAATAGTCTATAATACTGAATTAAAATTAATGTAATTGAGTTTGTGTGACTTAAAATTATACGATTAATTCTCCTGATATTATTGAATCGATCAGTGATTCCTTACTATTTATCATTACATGTCACAAGATTTTTGAAACATTTTTTGATGGTATAATAAGTTCTGTATTTTATCAAAGTTTCAAGTTTATGGTTTTTATTTCTTTTCGAATCGTATCTTGGATGTTTAATCCTTCCTATTACCACTGATTCTGTTACTACTTGTACTATTCTATATTCGTCTTCTCATTGCACTATCGAAATTTGTTAAATGGACTAACTGTTTTAAAATAAAAACAAATGAACGAATGTTTTTATTTTGCTGTTGCAGTTAATTGTTCATTAAATATTCAGATAAACCAACTGATTAGAACAGATGAGTGAAATTGTTGTTTTCCAGATAACAAGTGATCGATTAGATTGGAATAGAGTTCAAGTTTACTTATTAATTATTAGTTGCTTAAGGACAGCTAATTGCGTTCCAACTCCCCTATTAATAATATATGGACTTAAGCAAAGTTTGTGTTCGTTCACCGCGAGAACTGAATGTTTTTATACCACAACTCGGCGCCCAAATGCTGTGAAACTATTTGTCCAAATTTAGATGAAAGTTCTTACATGCATCACATAAATTATCATAAACCGAATGAGATATAAAATACTTTCATCGTAGAAAGACTAAGATGTCTAGCCAGACATATCATCAGGCAACGTCTAAACAGCCATTAGATTCCTTACTTGACTCACAATTATTGGTAACTTATGGGAGAATTATAGTAAAAATTGAAGACTATGTACATCAGAATTTACAAAACAATAAAACATTGTTTTCAATGATGAAAATTCAAAAGAATCACAACTAAAATTCATAGCATATCCTCTGAATTGTATTTATTGATTAAATTTCCATTATAATCCTCATAGCATGCACACTACAACTAATTACTGTTACTGTTTAAATCAGTATTACAAAAGTATTCTGTAAACACTTATTGTTCATTGAAAGTCGACATTCCAGCATTTTATTAATGGCCATAGGGGATATTTCTTTTTAGCATTTAAATAAAGTTTGTATGTATTATTAAAAACACTGAACTATGAAACGACATAGAGATCATTTTGAAGGGCTGAAACCACGAACAACATTCAATTACCTGATATCTAGATTTTAACTTTAATCTACAAAATATTCGTTCATTTGAAGTGCCTCACATGACAAAAAGTGAAATCGATTTTTAATCATTTAAATTATTGGTTAACTCACCTAAAGAGGTAACGAAATGTGAATGGGCATTTAATGTTTTGTGACATCGCCGATTTTTCAAATCCCAAATTCGAATTGTTTTGTCGTCAGAGGCAGACAATAA